GTTGGGCCCCCTTGCCTACTAGACTTTCTTAATCTTTCCACTGATAAAATACTGAATTAAAAAAGAAGGCACGTGTGGTCAACTAATCTTCAATAAAGCAGGAAAGAATATCCAATGGAAAAAAGATAGTCTCTTTAACAAATGGTGTGGGAAAATTGGACAGCAACATGCAGAAGAATGAAACTGGACTACTTTCTTACACCACACACAAAAATCAACTCAAAATGGATGAAAGATCTAAATGTGAGACAGGAATCCATGGAAATCCTAGAGGAGAACATACGCAGTAACCTCTTCGACATCGGCCACAGCAACTTCTTTCAAGACACATCTCCAAAGGCAAGGGAGACAAAGGCAAAAATGAACTATTGGGACCTCATCAAGATAAAAAGCTTTCACACAGCAATGGAAACAGTCAACAAGACTAAAAGGCAACCTATGGAATGAGGGAAGATATTTGCAAATGTCTTAACAGATAAAGGGCTGGTATCCAAAATCTATAAAGAACTTATCAAACTCAACACCCAAAAAACAAAATTCAGTCTTGAAATGGGCAGAAGACATGAACAGCCACTTCTCCAAAGAAGACATAGAAATGGCCAACAGACACAGGAAAAAAGGTTCAACATCACTCGGCATCAGGGAAATACAAATCAAAACCACAATGAGATACCACCTCACACTGTTCAGAATAGCTAAAATAAGTCAGGAAACAACAGATGTTGGCCAGGATGTGAAGAAAGGGGAGCACTCTTACACTGTTGGTGGGAATGTAAACTGATACAGCTACTCTGGAAAACAGTATGGAGGTTCCTCAAAAGTTAAAAATTGAGTTATCCTATGACCCAGCAATTGCACTACTAGGTATTTATTCAAAGGATACACACATAGTGATTCAAAGGGGCACATGCATCCCAATGTTTAGCAGCAATGTCCACAATAGCCAAACTATGGAAAGAGCCTAGATGTCCCTTGACAGATAAATGGATAAAAAAGATGTGGCGTATTTGTATAATGGAATATTACTCAGCCATCAAAAAGAATGAGATCTTGCCATGTGCAATGATGTGGATGGAACTAGAGGGTATTATGCCAAGTCAAATAAGTCAGTCAGAGAAAGATAAACACCATTTAATTTCACTCATATGTGGAATTTAAGAAACAAAACAGATGAACATAGGGGAAGGGAAGGAAAAATAAAATAAGATGAAAATAGAGAGGGAGGAAAACCTGACCTCTAGGAAACAACTCTGAGGGTTGCTGGAGGGGAGGTGGGTGGGGGGAAGGGATAATTGGATGATGGGTACTAGGGAGGGCACTTGATGTAATGAGCACTGGGTGTTATATGCAACTGATTAATTACTTAATTCTACCCCTGAAACTAGTAATACAGTATATGTTAACTAAATTGAATTTAAATAAAGAATTAAAAAAAAAAAGGCACGTGGCTTCTTAATCCATACATTTCTCTTGGCCAACTCTACTTTGTGAGGTTTCAGTGGCTCCTTTTCCTAAGGCTCCTAAATAATACTTTGATAATAAAATGTTTCTTAAGAATAAATATATATGAATATGCAATTTAAATTAAGAGATCATAATATGTGGAAATTTCATCTCGAGTGTGTAAGGACATTTCTATCAATGGTACTTTCTGTGCCTCATCTTCAGAGGCAGAGTAACAGCAAAACACAGCACATTTATAGCCAATTGCCAGGGGTCTACCACTGATAAAACGTGTCAATGATTTCTCAGTTGATTCTATGCTCTTTGAAGGGAGGAACTTTGTCCCGTTTATTCTGAGTATCTCTTTATCCTTTTAGTACCTAATGTATCATTAGACAGCATAGGGACTAAACACTGACTGAGAAAACTTGTTATTATATCTCTTTAAATTCTTTCCAGGCCAACATTTTTGCCATGTGCTCTCTATGGTACACAGCTTTGAAGCTTCGATGTCTGCAATTGGCCTTATGCTGGAAAAAAATCCCCAGTTGTTTTTGAAGGAAAACTTTGACTAGGCCTGATATTCTCTGTAAGCCCAATTCTGTTTCATAAGGACGGTGTTTATCACAGTTAGCTTGTACTTATTTGCATGACTATTTGGTGAATGTGTATTTCATTCCACTGACTCCATGACAATAGGGACAATGCTGGCTTTTCTTTCCCTTGTATCCTTAAAACCTAGCATAGAAGTTGGCATGTGCTAGTTGTTCAATAAACATTTGTTGAATAAAAGATCTCCTGTTCAGGCATGTATCTATGTTAAAGCTTTTCCTCTTTATGACCACGTCAAATCTTCCTCCAGAGTAAAGCAACTAAATCTTCCCTTGACCAGAAGCAGTATAACCTCAAACTCACTGATGCTTAATACTTTAAGAGAAATAGAGTATTAATTTATCCATTTATTCATTCAATCAGTACATATCTGAACTCTTCCTACCACGGGTCAAGCATCATTCTAGATGCCAGTCCCTGCCATCATAGTGCTTGCATTCTATGGGGAGAAGGGAAGGGAGAGGACACAATAAACAGTAACTAGTAAGTAGTTAGAAAAAACTGAAGAGGTAAAGGGAGAGGGGCAGAGAATGTTGGGAGGCAGGACATGAATGGGGTTTGCTATTTTACAGAGTAAACAGAAAAGTCCTTTCTGAAAGGGGAACCCTCCTACACTGTTGGTGGGAATGCAAGCTGGTGCAGTCACTCTGGAAAACAGTGTGGAGGTTCCTCAAAAAGTTGAAAATAGGGCTACCCTACGATCCAGCAATTGCACTACTATTTACCTCAACGATACAAATGTAGGGATCCGAAGGGGTACGTGTACCCTGATGTTTATAGAAGCAATGTCCACAATAGCCAAACTATGGAAAGAGCCTAGATGTCCATCAACAGATGAGTGGATAAAGAAGATGTGGTGTGTGTACACACACACACACACACACACACACTGGAATATTATGCAGCCATCAAAAAAATAAAATCTTGCCATTTGCAACGATGTGGATGGAACTAGAGGGTATTATGCTAAGTGAAATAAGTTAATCAGAGAAAGACAAGTATCATATAATCTCACTTATATGAGGAATTTGAGGAACAAGACAGAGGATCATAGGGGAAGGGAGGGGAAAAATGAAACAAGACGAAACCGGAGAGGAAGACAAACCATAAGAGACTCAATCTCAGGAAACAAACTGAAGGTTGCTGGAGTGGTGGGGGGTGGGAGGGTTGGGGTGACTGGGTGATGGACACTGGGGAGTGTAGGTACTAAGGTGAGCGCTGTGAATTGTGTAAGACTGATGAATCATAGACCTGTACCCCTGAAATAAATAATACATTATATATTAATAAAAAAATTTAAAAAGAAAAGAAAAGTCCTCTCTGATAAGGAGACATTTGAACAGGCCAAAGAGTATACTAGAGAAAGGAACGGTAAGTGTGAAGGCCCAGCCTAGAAGGATGGGCAATGTATCCATTCTCTACCAATGTTTATTAACTGGGGGTGACATTACCCTTAATAAACATTTGGAAATGTGAAGAGGGGTATTCTGAGTTTTCACAATGATGTGAGGTAGGGGTGAGGAGTAAGGAGAAGTTCAAACAACGAATTAAAAGAATTGCTCAGCTCAAAATACCCAGTAAAATTTTTGCTGGGGATATCAATTACAGCATTATTGGTTTTGTTTTCAATTGCCTTCATTATATTATAAAATGTCGACCAACAAAAAATTGGATAAATTATGATACAAGCATGCAACAGAATTGTATCTGATATAAATTTAATTTATCCTAATTCAACTATGTAGTTTCAGCCCCACTATTTTCTCCATTATGCTGGTTCATCATCTTTCATATGTGATATAGACTAGCTCTCAGTTTAAGAATTCAGGTGATACTATATACTTACTGACTCCTCTGCCTCATACTGCCTAGAAAAATCTTAGATGGGAATTGACATACCCTGACCATTAAATCAATCAGGGAATCATTCTCCCATTCTAATGTGGGAACATTTCCCATTCTCTACTTTCCCTGACAATCATCTCATGTTTTAAGACCAGCTCAAAAAAGACCTCATCCATGAAGCTTTTCTCTCCTTTCCCAGTTGCTCACTTTTTAGTAGTACCATAGCACTAGCCTCCTGCTCTCCTTAAGCATGCCTACCAGACATATCACAAGGCTTTTCTCTACCTGCCTGCCTCCCCCCAAAAATCGTAACTTCTTCCAGAGCAACAACTAGACCTTATCCATCCATCTTTGTAGCCCCAGCACCTAGTACAGTGCCTGGTGCTTACCAGGCGTTCGATAAATGATTGTTGAACGAATGGAGAAAGAGTAATTTCCAAGTTGAGCAAAAAGGAAAAAAAAAAAGTCGAAATTTAAAATGTACTTAGGTTTGTACCTAAGACCCTAAAAAACGCCTGCATGAGTTAGGCTGAAGCAAGAAATAGGACCAGACGGCTGGTAGACGGAGAAATCAGCATTTGAGGACTTTTTCAAAGTATTTGCTGAGAGGTGTCAATACATGGTTTTCGACGCAATCCTGTTAAGAGCAAGAGTGAGGGACATGACTTCTTGTGATCTTTTCCAACGCTAAGACCCCAAAACTCCCTTAGTCGGTGAGGAGCCCCGGTACCCTAGATGAGGCTCTCACCTTCCCGTTGGTGGGAGGCTCCTGGATGTAGATGTTGCTCATGCTGGTCAGTGCTCAGGACTCTGCTTCTAATTGGGAATGAGAACGGAGGGCCAATCACTAAAGCTGTCCACCGATCAGTGCACCCTTCCTTCAATCGGGTGGTCGCAGAAAGCTCCAGTTTGTTAGTGTCGCCAAGACTGCAACAACAAGCACTCTCCCTCCACCAAACTAGTTCCTCACGGACGCCTCCATGTCGCTCCTGGACCAGAGCACCGCTAATCCTGAGAAGGGGGATTCCGATGACCTCCAGGGAAGGAGAAAATATTATTAAGAACCCACAGATTAACTTAATTTGTGTTACAATTTTTAAATGCAATCTATAAATCCTGGTGTTGTTTACCTCAGTACACGTACGTGCAGGTCTCATTCACCCCCCCCCGAAGCATGCAGCAATGGTTCGGACCATGTGTGTTCTGTATTACGACTCTCCGGGAAACTGAATCAACGCGACTTGGTTCCGCTATCGCCGGAGGCCTTCCTGTGCCTTCCTGTACTGTCACCGAGGTCCCGCGGCGCCGGTGGGAGAAAGAGGCCGCCCTCGCCGTTTGTTGTCCTCGCTGCAGGTGGGAGGCGGGTGTCCTCTCGAAAGCCTACGGCTCCTGTGACCCCTCTTACCAGCGCCATGGCAGTCCCAGGTGAAGACCGACGCCAGGGCCCGTAGGTCTAGACGAGGAAGGGAGCGGGTAGGGTAGGTTGGGGTGCGCTGGGCTCGGGAGTAGCGCCCATGGGGATTGAGGCGGGGGCGTTAAAATTAACAGGTTCGTTTGGTCTCCATGAAAAAGTTTACACTCCAAAAATAATCTCTGAAGGGAAGAACGAACGACAGAAACTGTCTCCCCCACCCCAGTCGAGCTCCCGCGGCGCTGGATGGATTACCGGGAAAGTGTGTCGTGGGGGGAGGAGGGCCGGGAACTGGAGGCCTAGGGGGCGAGGAGCCGAGAAAAACGGACTTAACTTCGGTATGGCTTGAAAATAAAATTCAGGTGGCAACACTTGACAGACCCAAGTAGCCGGAGGCATTGTTTGTCGTGGAAGTCGCAGGGACGAAATTGACGTCTGGGCTTCTACTCTCTCTTCCTATTGTACGGAGTTCCTGTGTGGCAGTGGACCGGTTGCTTTCCCCCTCTGGGCCTCTCTTTGTGCATCTATAAAGGAAGATTTGCTCCTTTATGTCTGTGGTTTCTTCCAGCTCTCAGGTTCTGTGTCCAGTGGGTACCGACCTAAAAACAGTGAACCCTACGAAATAAGTGCTTCAGAGATTTCTGGTCCACAACTACCAGCTTGCTTGGAAGTTCTAGTCGGGGAGGGCATCTGCTTAAACCAGGTTTGCTGTGATGTCTTCTGAAGAACCCTGGTTGCAGGAGTTATTTTGAGAATTATATCCCTACCCCCCACCCCCAAACCTACAGCTTGGAGATTCACTATGCTCTTTAGTATATGAAAGACTAAGAAGTGCTGTGGTTCAGAAGCCCTAACTTTGTTTTAACCTACCCTTCCCAGTATTGTTTAACCATGTTTGTACCGTGGCAACCTTTTCTGAACTATATTTTACGGGTCACTGTTACAAGGATATTGCGCTTTTCTAACCACTGCAGTTTTGGGAGGAGGCGGAATTAAGAGAGAGGAAAGATACACTCATTCATACACAGAACAATCTTTACTGAAAGTGCCTACCACGTGTTAGGCAATGTGCTAGGCAGTGGGAATACAAAGGTGAACAAGACAGTTGCTCTTCACACAGAACTTAGAATTTAGCAATAGAGAGGAAGGACCAGAAAGTCAGACATGTATGGCAGGGGAAATTTGAAGCCTTCAGGAGCACATAGTAAGGGCACCTCACAGAAGACTGGAGGGGCTAGGAAGATGGACTTCCTAGAGGATGTGGCATTTAGGATGAATCTTGAAGAATTCCAGGAGGGTTGGAGTGGTGACAGAGGAAGTTGCCCCCTGAGGGACTGGATATGTAAAGGAAGAGGAAATGTATGAGAAGAGGAAATAAAAGAAGTAAAAGATACTCCCTATAAATGGAACTCACAATACAAATGGGAGAGAAGTGAGAAATTAACTAGGGAGTTAATAACAGTAGCTAATATTTACTAATGTATCAGATGTGTAAGTAGCATTTACTGTGTATCAGATGTGTCAGTGTGTCAAGCATTGTATTTTATCTCATTTAATCTCAGTCCGCACTGTAAGATAAGTATTAATACTTCAATTTTATATGAGGATACTGAGGGATAAACAAATCAAATCACTTGCTGATTAAGGGATAGTAAGTGACAGGTCAGTGGGGCTCTTCTAGGCCCCATGCACTTACTCATCTTGCCATGTTATAGTATATTTTACAAGATAGTTTCCATCTCTTAAAGGACCTTGTAAGCCATGACAGTTTGGATATTTTCCCAAGGACTATAGGAAGCCATTTAAGAGTTTTAAGACATTCATATTTTGGAAAGATCATTCTGGCTGTACAGTAGATTGGAAGGAAGCTAGTTTGGAGACAAGGTCACCAGTTAGTAAATTCTGGTAAGTTATGGTGATGCTTCAGGTATGGTATCAGGAAAGGAGAGAAGTACATGGATTGGAGATAGATTTTTGATGGTAGACTCACTAGGAATCAGTGATTGATCCAGTGTAGGTGGGTAAGACAGGAAGTGGGGTTTCACTGTTACTGGATTGGGTGGGGCCATTTACTAATATAGGCAATACCTGAGAAGGAGCAGGTTTTAGGGGGATGATGAGAATTTCAGTTTGGGGTTTGTGTTAAGGTATAGTCAGACATATGAATGGAAATATCTAGTAGGTAGTAAGAGAAAATTTGTAGCTTAGGAAAGAAGCCAGAGTCGAAGACCACAATTTGAGTCATCCACAGATGTAATAGGAGTTAAGACCATTGTAGTGGCTGCCTGTGCTCAGGTGGAGTGAGTAGGGTGTGAAGGAAGGGTCTGTGGCTGCAGCCTGGAGCTTATCAACCTGTAAGGAGCTAGCAGAGGAAGGCCGGTCTGCACAGTAGATTGCCTAGGCGTCCTGAGCCTTCACATCAGCCCTGGTGATCCTTGTATTGCACCACTACATCTAGAGTTGAGTTGCTGTCACTGTTGGTTTTATTACTTGAGCAAGCGTTTTGAGCACCTACATGGTATAGACACTCTAGGGGACACAACATCACATCTTGTGTTCTCATGAAACTCAAGTCTAGTAATAAAAATGGGGTGCTTAAGAAAGAAGAAAAAAAAGTGATTTTTAAAAAGTCCTTATTGGAATTGCCTTAAACTTAGACAAGTGTTATAGATATGTTAGCCTTCTTCTGATTCAAAATAATACTCCAAAGTGTAATAATCTTAAATTGTGCCATTAAGCTAGATGGCAAGACATGGAAAGACTGTTTAAACCCAGCAAAAATTGAGATAATAGACATGACAGCACTGTAAGAGTACAATGCAAGTACCATTAGGAAATAGAGATACAGAAAATGTTGAGATAATTTCTTGCGTGATCGATCCAGGTAGTGGATTAAAGAAAAATAAGGCTCCATCCATCAGAAACCATTTGAGATAATTATTGAGAAGGCCAAGTATTAAGTTACGCTCTTTTATTTTTAGGTATAATGCTCATATGGATTCAGTGTGGCATTTATCGGGTGGTCTTGCTAGTGATTATTATGAGATAAGACTATAAAGTGACGAGGATGCTTTCCACAAGTGAAAATCAGCCTCTTCTGTTTTATGGTCGCCTACTTCAGCTGTTTTTCCACAGCATTATGTGTAAGCATACACCATTACGTAGGCAACACAATGAAATGTGTACTTTCTTAGGGAAATCGTAGACTCTTAGTTGTTATTTTAAAAATGACATTTAAGGGGCGCCTGGGTGGCTCAGACAGTTAAGCATCTGCCTTTGGCACAGGTCATGACCCCAGGGTCCTGGGATGGAGCCCCACATTAGGTTCCCTGCTCAGCGGGGAGTCTGCTTTTCCCTCTCCCTCTGTTGCTCCCCCCTGTTTGTGCTCGCTCTCTTCCTCTCTCTCTCTCTCTCTCAAAATAAATAAAATCTTTAAAAAAATAAAAAATAAAAATGAGATTTAAATACAGGTTTCAGTGAAGTTGACTTTGTTTTAGAAACTACTTTGCCCATTCACAGTTGTTGACATTAGTTCTGACAGTCATGTTGATGATTCACTGTTCCCCATGAAGAATCCACCTGACACCCAGTGGCAGTGTATGTTACTGATGTTGCTGGCACAAAAACTTTTTCTCTCATTCAGTAAAATCTATATAGCCAAGATAGGGAATTTTCTGTACCCAAATTAACATTACATCTGGCATATAAAAGTGAGTCAAATTTTTAAAACACATTACTTTAACATCTTAGTAATAAAAGAATTCTAAATCACAATGCATCCAATTGCTTTTCACTCCTAAACAGTACATATTTTCTTTTCTCTCTAGTCTATGCTGCACATTGCTGCTGAAATAATCTTCCTTAACTATATATCTGATCCTGTCATTCCTGGGGAAGGGGGGAGTGGGTGGTAAGGAGTTAGTTCTTGGCCCCTATTTGTGAATTTCATATTTCTCTATCACCCAGATCAGGGTTTTAAATATTTCCATCACCGTAGGAAGGTCCCTTACGCCTTTGTCATTTCCCCCTTTCCTTGCCTAAATAACCATTATTTTTATTTCAATTGTCCTTTTTAAAAAAATTATCCTTCTTTTATAACTGTTATTCCAGTGCCTGTCATTTCTCAGATGGGCCAGTGACACTGCAGACTCTAGTTTCACAGCTAGTAACTGGGAGCTACATACGTTACTGATTCCCAAGTGAGGAAGTATTTTCTTAAGTCTCTAACCTCAAAGCAACAAGCATTTGTTGAAAACATATAGCAGGGCTGCACCATGCTAAGCAGTGAGTTGTATACAGAATTGAATGGCATGTTCTGGAAGCTAGAGAAACTAGCTTTTTCTACTCCTTTAAGTTCCTGGGAGGTAAAAGGCAGCCATTTTCCTGAGCCCTTACCTGACACTCAAGTTATTTAACAGAGCTCTAGATCCAGAGTAAGCCCTTGCTAATATTTAACAAGTAAAGAGATAAAGACCTCTGCAATTTATTCCTAAAGCCATCAGTTAATAAAATTTTATTATAAATCTGTAATGTAGCTTCTCTGAAGAATTTACAAATGCAGTTACTGCCTTTGTTAAAGAATCTTGCACAGCAGCAACTCTTCTTTATGTTGGGTTGTTTGAGGGAGGTTTTTAGTTTGGTTTTTGAGAAGGGAATTCATTCACATGCTTCAGATTTTAAAAGCTACCAAAAGGTGTGTAGTGACATATCTCTCACCCTTTCTACCCCTGGAGGCACTTCTTTTTTCAGCTAACTAATTTATATTCTTAGAGATCTTTTTTGTATCTCTCCATCTATCTTAAATAAAATCTACATATAATTTGTATTTTATCTATATCTAATCTTCTTTCATACAAATGGCAACATACCACAAGCACTGTTCTATACCTTGCTTTTTGTCTTTATATCTTAGAGATCATCAGATATCATTAAGTAAAGACTAACCATACTTTATGTCTAAATTATTTCCACTCTTTTACTATTACAAATGATGCTGTAGTGAATAACTTTGTATATAAGTCAATGTAAGTCACTATGCATTTGTGCAAGCACATTGAGAAGATTCATTCCCAAATGGGGAAGTGCTAGGTCAAAGTAGTATGTACATTTATAGTTCTGATAGGTTTTGTCAGTTTGCTTTCCATAGGGGTGATATTGATCTGCACTACTATTCACTGTATGGGAGTGTGTCTGCCCCATACTCTTTTCAACCCTTTCTTTGCTATTCTGATAAGGGAAAATGTGATCTCAGTGTAGATTTTAATGTACATTTCACTTATTATGAGTAAGGATGAGCATCTCCGTGTTTCAAACTTGTTTCTGTTCCTGTGCGCTTTCTGTTTAGCTCCTTTGCTGATTTTTTTTTTTTCCTGTTGGTTGTTGGTTTTTTTCGTAATGATTTTCTGGGTTTTATATGGTAGGCATAATTGCCCTTTATTGGTGCTATGAGTTGCAAATATTGGTTCCTACATTTTCATGTGTCTTTTGAGTTTGTTTTATCTGGTCTTTGCCATTTTTTTTAATGTAGGCAATTTTATAAGTTTTTATTCAATGGTTTTAGGATTGTAGGTCATGATTACAAAGGAACATTTGGAGGGAGGCAGGCTCTATTACTGTGAACAGTGTTAGCAAACTTTAAAGAGGAATGGAATGAAGAACAGCGTGAGAACCTCAGATGGGGAAATGGATAACTTCTAATTGAAGTAATAGGGGCCTCTCAATATGGCCTTGCTATTCAGTTTGACATGGATCTTGGGTACCAGAGTTCTTGTTCCAAACAACAGAAACTGCCTAGTTAATTGAAGAAGAAAATGAAAGATCTCAGGATGCTCACAGAATGTAAGCAAAGGCTAGATAACAGGACTTGGAAAACAGATGAGACCAAGGGCATCCGTAGCCAAGATGGCGCACAGCCCCAGACCTGGTTAGGAGTCTGCTCTCTGTGGCAGTGGCATCACTGCATCTTGACAGGAGAATGAATGAAATGTCCCCACTTCATTGTGTCACTTGTCTCAGATTTATTGTATCAGAGGCATCAGATTCAACGTCCTAGGTAGAAGCATTCATTTGGCCCAGCAGTCATGAAAATTAGGACAAATGAAGCTTGAAATTTTAAGCCAACCAAAAACTAGTGAGGACATAGTTAAATATGGAGTTATTTATTTAGTTCTCGTCTTATTGTCCTATCATGTAAAAGTTACAACTTTGTTAAAGAAGATGACCTACTTGGAAAAAGTTTGATATTTCATTCATTCTAAAAATATGAGATAGAGTTCGTCATAAGTAAGTTAATTTCTCATAAGTGCTGAGATGAGATCATTTCAGATTTGTCCATTACAACATTTTTAGTTTATTGTAGGAATGGTAATGTTGCATTCAGAACAGTTTTGTTCTGTCTCATTCAGCCTCTATGGTTTCTATGGAAACAGACTTAACACTGACCTGGATTCTCTGAGCTTTTTTTCCAACAGGCAATTATTTCATAATGAAAGAGCCTCAGATTTTATTATGAATCCAGTGTTATACCACAATTCTGCTACAGTGCAGCATATGCATTCCTACTCTATGCAATACAAAGCACAGGGTTTATGAGAAAAAGTGAGATTGGGGCACAATAGTCAAAAACTTCATCAGTGATACATAAAAAATGATAGAAACCTAGTAGCAGTAGCACAGTTTTGCACATGTTAATTGGTTAAAAGGCCCATAAATAATATAGTAAATAGGGTACTATACCTTGTAAAAGACCTGAAGTTTGCTGTGGAAGCAGACTTCGTAAGAATTGCAGTTTGTGAATTGTTCCAAAGTAATGGTGGCGGAAGAGGATGATGTGAAATCAGATCAGTTATAACACCTTATGTGGATGGGCACTGTTCACAGCACACACGCTGAACTGAGGTCCCTAGAAACATTTTGGGGTGTGTTCTTGCATGTGTTCTGTATATTCCTATGAGCCTCAGAGCAACTGGATAGCACTTTCTGCATTCACCTAGTGTTTTTCATGGACAAAAGTCACATTATGTTCAAATCATTCTCTCTTATGTCAACTGTATTGGAACAAATTTATGTTTTTAAAACAAGCATTATAGCACACCTGACTGTATTTTTTACTAGAATAACAGTAATGTGTATTTTAAAGTAAATTTGGGATTGTGGAAAAATGACTAGTGTTTTGACTTCATAACAGTGAAGGGATGGTTTAAAAGTGATCTTTTTGTTTTAAAATTAACACTATTTTATATTTGTGTTCTATGTACTCTATTAGTGAGTTTGGGTTATATCTCCATATGAAGAATTTAGGAGTTAGATGCCTTGCATTAAGGTAATAGAACAGTTCTTTCCTGAACTTCTGGTTGCTGGAAGCCCTTATTGGAGGTGAAAATTAGTTTCAACTATATGTATTATGCAGCCATAAAAAGGAATGTTCTTCTGATAATGTGCTACAGTTTGGGTGATCTTGAAAACATTATGCCAAGTAAAATAATTCAGACATGAAAGGATAAATATTGTATGATTCCACTTATATGAGATTCCTAGAACAGGTACATTTATAGAGGCAGAAAGTAGGATGGAGAGTACCATGGGCTCGAGGGAAGGGGCACTGGGCAGTTATCATTTAATGGGTATAGTTAGTGTTTGGGATGATGAAAGATTTTGGAAATAGTGGTGATGGTTCTACAACCTTGTGAATGTACTTCATGCCACTGAATTCCACACTTAAAAATTGTTAAGGTGATAAATTTTATGTATATTTTTATTACAAAATCAATTTTAATTTATTTCATCTGTTATTCTATTCCAGCATTGCTTGCATGTAGCATTAATGATACAGATATACTATAAATATTTCTAAACATTGATCAGACTGAATATATGACTAGCAGTTTGTTTTCTCTTGTCAGAATCTGATTGCTGAATTCAGATGTTTCTTAGAATAGCTGGCAATTAAAGTGTTTTTCTGGATTTTTACCAATTACTTTTAAAAAGTCAGTTTGTTTTTCTTCTAAGGGAGAGCAGAAAAACATTTGTTATCTCTAATGTTCATATATATGTATATATAATAACTAGCATATATAGTGAATATGTGTATGCATATACATATCTAGCTAATTATTTACATTTGAGGGACAAGCTAAAATACTCTGCAATTTCTTCCTCAGTGTTCTAGAATTCCTGGAATGTTTAAGCTCTTGACTATAACACTGCATTTCTGTTAAAGAAAAATATATTCTGAAATTCTTGAAATATTGTCAAAGAAAATAATTTGAATAAATTGTTTTTTCCAGTGATCTCTAGCATTCATAACAATTCAATGAATAGTGTTACTAATTTGGGTCAAGAATGATTTTTCTTTAAAGAAAGAAATTCTACAATGAGAGGTTTCTTAGCTTTTTCATGTGATGAAATTCTTATGTTTCTTCTTTTTATATGTCTCCTAAAATGTCATCCAATTTTATTTCAGGTTGCAACAAGGATAGTGTCCGAGCCGGCTGTAAAAAATGTGGCTATCGTAAGTACATTAAAAAATAATATTTCAAAGAGTGAATCACTGCCTCTTTGGGCAGTGTGATTTGGCATCCTGATTTTAGTGCTCTGATTTCAGCATAGTTCTGTAACCCCATTATTTAGCCCGGGTTTGCAGATGATTCAAAAATTTCCCTGTCAGCTCTAAATGGTTCCTTTCTTCCCTGCTGTAGACTTAGTGACAGGTGGCTATATATTTAGTGACTAGCAAAGATGTCAAGTACAAGTGGAGTAGATTTAGGAGACTGGAGAAAGTATATTCCAAAAAAAAAAAAAAAAGGACACATATACTTAATCTTTTACTCCTTGTCTTTCTAGATACTGGATGAAGAGGGGAAAGCAATGAAAAGTATTTATGAAGGGTTTTCCTGTTGAATGAGTTTAGTCTTTTTAAGGATGAAATTGGTCCTAGAATTTCTGCTCACAGGCAAAAGTTGATGAAACAGTCATTAATCTCTATTATGATCAATGAAATGGAATAAAAAAATAAACTTTAACATGTGCAATTGTGTAGCTTAAATTTGTAATTATGTACCACAAACAAATATCATTTCTTTAGTTAAATGTAACAATTCCTGAAGCTTTGATAACAGCAAGAACAGTACCATTTGTTGTTTTATAAATTGGAGACCATGCACATGAGCCTGGATTATGGTTAATACTCCATATAAAATTAATTAATTAATTAATTTACATAGAAGTATAGTTACATTTGATGCACAATGTTACATGAGCTTTAGATGTACAACGTAATGATTTGTTAAGTTTATACTTCAGGCTGTGCTCACCACAAATGTTACCATCAGTCACCGTATTAGTGCTATTACAATACCATTGACTGTATTCCCAATGCTGTACAGAAAAGTTTTTTTATTTTTTTATTTTTTATTTTTTATTTTTTTAAAGATTTTATTTATTTATTTGACAGAGAGAGACACAGCGAGAGCAGGAACACAAGGAGGGGGAATGGGAGAGGGAGAAGCAGGCTTCCCGCCAAGCAGGGAGCCCAATGTGGGGCTCAGTCCCAGGACCCTGGGATCACGACCCGAGCCGAAGGCAGACACTTAACTGGCTGAGCCACCCAGGCACCTCCAGAAAAGTTATTTTTAAAAAGATAAATGTGATGTAAAAAAAAAAAGATATCCATGCAAGAACATGTGATAAGAGAGCACTCTTATCATAAGGCTTCATTAAAAGGGCTCATAATGAAAGCATGCTGAGAGTACCAAGTCACATTCCTCCAAGCAAAGGCTGAAATGTGGCACAGGGGAATCTTGCTCAGTTAGCAGAAGTGAGCAATAAGCATACATAGCCTTCACTTAAATTAAAACTCCTGAAGAATATACTTTCATGCAAGAAATGGCTGCAGTGAAATCTTTTCTGTTTTAAACTTGTTTGTATTTATTTCTTTGTTTCCTTTCTTTGAATGTTTGCTAATTTCCATGTTTTGTTTCTTGATTTAGGACTTAAGAACCTACTCACTCATGCTCTCTCTCTATATATGCTGTTTTATTTACTTCAAAATCTAGAACGGATTTTCCAATCTGTCTATAAATACCAGTTTATCTACTTGGACTTCTTTTTAATTTTTAACTTAAGACTTGTAAGAAAATAGGGGTGCCTGGGTAGCTCAGTCGGTTAAGCATCTGCCTTCCACTTGGGTCATGATCCCAGGGTCCTGGGATCAAGCCCAGCATCAGGCTTGTTGCTCAGCAGAGGAGTCTGCTTCCCCTCTCCCTCTGCCTGCCGCTCCCTCTGCTTATTCTCTCTCCCTCTCTATCTCTGTCAAATAAATAAATAAAAATCTTTAAACAAAAAAAGACTTGTAGGAAAATAATAAAAATAAGTTTTTGGAAATAGAGTATTTGTTGATCTAGTCTCCTTACTGCTATTTTATTTTAAACAATGATGGAAGTATCTGTAGTAATAAGAATTTTTTTTAGAGAAGCCAAGTAAGCAGATAGGTTTGGCAGTCTTTCTAAGTTTAGTTCCTTCTGTTTTATTATTTTAATCTATTATTTTAGTGGTTAAGTTATTAAATAACTTCTCATTCAGTAATACTTCCCTTCTGGGTTAAACTTACATCTTATACCTTTTAAAGATGAAGGTCTTTTGAATTTACATGTCTTTCTGATAGAGACTACATTTTAAAAATTACCTGTTATTTGTAGGGCAGAATCTTTGTATTGATAGTAGATGTAAGAGAAAAGTCCACAAAACTCTTTGAAATGTTTTTAATGCCTAAAAATGTGCATATTCATCATTCAGTTACAAAAGAATATTGTCTCTCTAGTGTTGTGAAGCTAATGGTTTAGGTTGTACTATTTTAAAATTTTTAATACTTGATTGAAAAATATTTTATTGTCAGTATGTTTCAATAGTGTTTATATTATTTTTTAAAAGTTTCAAGTTAAGGATGAATGTGTTACTAAATAACATGGATGGCACTTTTTCATGGCAGTTTTCTCAACAAAATAAGAACTGTTATTTCTATGATAAGTTTTGAATTTTTTTGGAGTTGGCAACTTCTGAATATTTAAAAGCTACAAGGACACTAAGCCTTTTTCCATGGAATAAATGTCTCAAATAATTATGATAGTTCTCAGAAAATATACCTTTAAAAAGTTCAGTATAGTATACTCAGTAGTTGAGCATTTGATCATAGCAGCAGGAAATAAAAACATACCTAAGTACCTTTAATGTTTTATTTAACTTAAAATGCTAATCTATTGATAGACATTCATGACCTTTTCTTTGCCTATGGGTCTGCTCATTATTGTTTCTCATAGACTTTTAAGTGCAAATATCTGAAATGCATTTTCTACTTTTTATAGTTTGTTTTTTCAAAGATAAGCAAGCAGTGAGAATAATAAATCTGAGTGCAAAATTGTTTTATCATTTGTTCTCACTAGTGGTAATACTGCCCCCCTGGAAATCTGTGGACTTTTTTTTTTTAAAGTTGTCCATATGGGGTTGAGTGCAACAGTAGGACATTTAGTATGTAGGCTGTAGTGATTATAAACGTCCTGTGATGTATAGGGCAATATTGGACAGTGAAGAATTGCCTGCCTCAAAATGACAGTGGCACCCCATTTGAGAAATAGGTACTTTTTCTCATTGTTTTAGATTTTTTTTTCTCTATCTTGTACAGTCGTGTTCCAGTACCTAATTTGAAAACTGCTTTTAAAAATAATTCATTTAAATCAGGTATTTCTAAAAGTACAACTTTGTTTTATAGAAACAACCACTCTTTTTTGCCCCACGTTCATATTTTTGGACTTACATGATTTTATATAAGCAAACTTACATATAACAATAACAAATAGGTCATGAAGCAAACTATGCAGATTCAGGCCTGTATGGGGAGAGATAAGAGTGGAGAGCCTATATAGTCTCCCATTTCAAGAAATTTGCATGAGAAAAGGAAGGAACTGTCTTTAGTAGTCCTTATGGACTACTATAATAAAATATCATAAGCCCAGTAGCTTATAAATAGAAATTATTGCTCATCAGAGGCTGTAAGTCCAAGCTTAGGGTGCCAGCAAGTTTTCCAGGTCATAGATTTTTTATTTTATACTCACATGGTGGAAAGGACTAGAGATCTCTCTGGAGTCTTTTTTATAAGGCATTAATCCCATTCATGAAGGTACCACCCTCAGAACCTAATCACCTCCCAAAGGTCCCATCAACTAATACCATCCTCTTTGGGGGTTAGAATTTCAGCATATGAATTTTGGGGGGACACAAAGATTCAGGTCATAACAGGAACATATTGAATACAATTAACCCTTGAACAACATAGGTTTGAACTGCACAGGTTTAGTTTTAAGTCTTTTCTTTTTTTAATACAGTACAGCAGTAGAACAGGAACCACCACATGTCTCCCCCTCCTCACCTGCACTCAGCCAAGGTAAATCCTAGAGTAATACCCATTTCTTGCTCCTCTTCTGGGAATGTGGAAAACCTTCTTCCACGTGGAGTCCAGGGAAGGTAGATAACCAGGGAAGTCAAAGTACCTTTACCCTTCTCTCTAGGTCACTTGTTCCACCTGATCCCCTTTATGTGGTTCTAATGCAGTTTCTGTTCATGGAAAATGCTGTCAAGGGATAAGCTGCCAGTTCCCCTGCAATATTAGCTACCCCCTTCAGAAAATGTTCAGCACCTTGGACAGCGCCCCGCCCTCCTGAGGCCCAGGCTTCTGTCTGGTGCTGTCCTGCCCTTGGTGTCCTCCTGCACTCCTTGGTTGGGGGTTCGGGGGGAGGTGGGTTATTATGTGGTCCTTGGTTACTTCAGCAAGAATCCTTCCCCAAGAGCCTGTTTCTTGCACCTCCCAGTTCAAGACCTCAGTGAACTGAGTTTCCCACAGGTAGTAGGATGGAGAGTGCCAGAAGCAGGCAAGAGCCCTGGTGTTACAGCCTTCTCTGGAACTTTGCTCCACTTTTGCTTTGTTTTTCATCATGTGGTGACTTTTATCTTACTTTTCTATCACATAAAACACAGTAGTTTAGTTTTAAGGGAGCCAGAAATTATATGTGGATTTTTGACTGCCTGGAGTTTAGTGTTCCTAACCCCTCTGTTCAAGGGTCAACTGTAATTCCTGGAAGGGACTTTGGGATAAACAGAGGGTTTTATATTTAACATATAATGTGCTTATATAGACTGAGGGGTTATAGGAGATGTTTCAGGTACTGGAGACAGGAGAAGATTAAGCAGTTTCATCTAAAAGTTATAACAAGAGTATCTCTTAACTTTGGAGGAAGCTAGATGAGAATAAGTACAGATATTTTCAGGTGTGGAGACAGAAGGTAGAAGGAGATGCTGTCTGGTAAACTTAGGAGGCAGAGCTGGCTGTTTGGGAAGGGGGCATTGAGTGAGACAGGAAATTGGTTGAACAATAATTTAAGTCAGGCATAAGTTTGGAAAAGTCACCAAGGAAAATAGGACAGACAAAAAAAAAATGAAATGTTTTGTGTTTGTGCTAGCATT